CATCCATCCATCCATCCATCCATCCATCTATCTATCTATCTATCTATCTATCTATCTATCTATCTATCTATCTATCTATCTATCTATCTATCTATCTATCTATCTATCTATCTATCAATCTATCATTAAAGTCACTAAATAACCTCTGACTAACCTTTTTCCTCTGCTGCACACTACATGTTCAGCTGTTTCTCATGTTTGGCTGGTTTTATGGCCTGTTTCATCTTATAGCTCCTGTGCCAGCACTGCCTGCAGTGGCCATCGTAACGGCAGCTGAGCAGAGCTTCTCTCTCAAGCCGAAGAGGAAAAAAAAATACCTACAGACTAATTATGAGAGTTACATGTTTATATAAAAAAAGAAGCAGCCGTGTGGCATATTCACACAGTTGAAATATGAAGAAATAAAAGTTTTAAAGCAAACTGTTGTTGCAGTACATTTTTTATATGGAAAAAAAAAAGTTGGAATAACAGCTGGTTTAGTTGACAGGTTCAGTGAAGTCCTGTCAAACCTTTCCCTCTGAAGAGGTTTCGGCTCTAAAAATGGCATTTGCGTGTTGTGTGAAATGCACAACTATTTTAACTTGAATTCTGTGCTTTTACATAGTTTGTAATAGTTGAAATAAGCTGGTTTACAGATAATCAGGTCAATTTAGAAGTTATACCCAAACGAGGACCTTTAAAAAAAATTTTTAATAATTTTTCAAGTTTTTAAATCAACTTTCTCAGAAATGACATACCAGTGTAAAAAACATCGCATTAGCAAATATTAAACCTTTACACTTTTAGCACTGATTTGTTTGTTGCCATTTTCTGAACCAAACAATATCCTGTATGTGAACGTATGTACATAGAACGGACTGTCATGTGTTGAAGCTGCAAATAAATCTTTCCACTGGGAGTTAAACTTTTGGATTGACAAGAAGCCAGCACACTGTTACATTTAGCATTCTCAGCACCAGCAACATGGTGGTCTATGTGTCTCGATGTTGTTCGAGTGCAAAAACAGCAACAAACTAAATGAAAAGTGTCATGCTAAAGTGTAGAGGTTTAATACTAGCAAATTAAGCATTATTTCAATATGTCCTTTTAGAAAGAGTTTATACGCATGAAAAGCACTATTTTGGCTTCCTAGCCTGGAAGACGCTTCCTTTTTCTTCACATTCCAAGAGTGAAGCCACGAATGATAAGGTTCTAATTCTTAATATCTATATCACTGAACATTGCTTCAAAAAGTGCAAATTATCCCTTTAATGCAACTGAACATTGTTAATAAAAACCAACTTAACAACTTGACCAAAGATGTACTATTCCTTTGACCAAATAAAGATTGTCCTTAGGTGCTTTGAGCTTTCAACAGTTCAATGTGTAGCTCAAAGTCAATATTTTGTAGGGGTGCACTGATTGCAGCTTTCTGGCTGATCACTGATCACTGATTTCTAAAAAGTCTGACCTGCCGATTCCCATTTTGACCGATACCGATTTTGTTTCATAAGCGACACTGTCGGGTGTTAGAAGGTCACAATGCACCTTCAATTTTCCAATATTATTTTGTTGGAAAACATACCCTTGAACAATATCCTAGAAACAATAAACTTGTTTTAACTGGCCATGAGGTAGTGCTCTGAAATATAAATTATATTTAGACAATTGCTGTTTAAAACAAACAAAAAATCGGTTATAATATACGTATCGGCCGATCTCCCAAAATTAAGGAAATTGGGACCAATAAATCGGACGTCCAGTTTATCGGTGCACCCCTAGTATTTTGTGATGCTTTGGGCTCTAGACAGTATCTTGCCTACTTCTGGTCCATTGAAATGCTCTGAGTCTAAACAGCGTAACGATGTTTCTGCTGTGCTCCGCAGTCAGTCTGACACCTGGCAACCGTGCACGTCTTTATCACAATGTAACAACTATTTTACAAATACGTTTGTATATAAAAGCCAATTAAAAGGCGACATGTTCTGTTGTTAATGTTGAACCCACGTGCAGACAGGCACAGGTTGACTCCAAGGTAAAAATAAAGCGAAAACTTATTTAAACAACAAAACAAAAGCTGAACGGGCAGCAAAAACTCACATGAACGAATGGAGGAAACGACGGAGGAACGGACATGACAGGCTGCAGCACAATGCACGGACAAACGAGAAACACAGAGACGCTGAATTTGAGGGGGGATGAGACAGCACCTGGGGTGATTAGCACTGGAGACAGGTGAGACAAGAGCCGAACAACAAGGAAGAAAAACACTGGGGAGTGCAGGAAACACTAGGATTACAGAAATGACAGGAACTCCCACAAGCGTAAAGAACTAAACCAGTAGAGTTGAATGCAGACTGGAAGAAGACTATGACACTAGAAGATTGATTGATTAATTGATTGTGCATTCATGACTGTAAAAAGGTCAATTACTCCTGAGGACAGGACAGGAGGTGCCATTTTTAAACAGCATTGACATATTTCTGATTCAGGCGCTTCTGGGAGACTTCCAGATCTTTTGAATGCAGTGTCACCACTGTGGGGAAAATAAAGCTTAAACTTATTATTATTTCACACTTAATCAAGTTTAGTGGCGCCAGCTGACACGGAGAAGTTAAGTAAAGCTAACGTTTAATTTCTCAGAGTGCTCAGGTGATCAGAGCTGAGGTATTGCTGCTCTTGAAATAAAGTCTGGACCTGATTGAAAATATTAACAATGTTTTGTAATGGATCTAGGGGACGTGGAATAGTAATTTTGATGGATTAGTCTATAGGTTGCACTCGTTTCCTGCTGTTATGTGTTTGATATTCAGAGCAGCACATCTACAGTGGGGGAAGCCGAGGGAAAGGGCAGTCATTCTGCAGGGTGGCCCCAGCAGCTCCATGCTGAGGAATCAGTCATCGTTTTCTTAACATTTGTCTCGCCTTTCGCACAAATATAAGCATGTTGGCTGTTTTCCAGTCAGACACAAGTGTTGAAGCTGTGGTTATTTTAGTTGGTCGGAGGGGAAACAACAGATGCAATCTGTTTACTGCTGTAGGAAATCCCAGCTCTATAAGACA